GTCAGGCAGATATGCTCAAAGACGTAGAAGCCAGCAAGAGCTGTGGAGGGTGTCTGAGTGGCTACGGGACCCAGGCAGAGCTTCAGCAGCCTGGCATGGAGGACAAGGGAGAGGTGATACTGAACGAGGTAGGTGTTAGAATTTCTGATGTGAAGATTTATTCATTCTTGGACTGTAGATACTACAGACTCTTGCCCCAGATTTGGAAGAGGAAGCCCATAAGAGAACATCACCTAACAGAGCTTCTGAACATACTGAGATGATCTTTCTCCCTCCATCTCGAGCTGCTTCCGCACGTGCTGTCTGCCTTGGCAATAAGCCGTGTCCTCAGAATACCAAACCTGCTGGCAGTTCTTGCCTTGTAGCCTTCCTAGTGTGAATGTTCTTTTGTTGTCTATATCTGGGCTAAGCTGTTCTTTCCTTGGGAAAGTCTTCCCAGAATTCCTCCTTCCATCTTATTCCTGTTGACCGTGGGGTAAACCTGGCAGCCTCGAGGCTCATGCACTGTTGCTATTGTGATCTGCTTGCTTGCTTGACTCTGGCTCCCATGGCGCTGTGAGCTCCCTGCTTTTGGGCTCACCATGACTTATGGACAGACACATCAATTAGTGTTCATGTCCACCAGCACCTCAAAAGTCACACGGAATGAATCAAACTGTAAGCAGTGGATTATATAATAGCTAATATAATATTATATAATAGGGCCCAGAGATACAACAGACAGGAACTACAAAATGTATAGCTGCTTATGGGCAGTTTCCTGCCTAATAGAACACACACGTACACACACATACGCGCACACACACACGCACGCATACACGCACGTACACACACAGAGTGCTTCTATCACAAACTTCCACTATACACATGTCTTTTACATGTTCATTAAAATTTTTAAATCAAAATAAGAGTTTTTTTTAATTTTTTTCTGTTATTTTTTTATTTTTTTTAATTTATTAAAGATTTCTGTCTCTTCCCCACCTCCGCCTCTCCTCCCCTTCCCCCTCCCCCAATCAAGTTCTCCCCCCTCGTCAGCCCAAAGAGCAATCAGGGTTCTCTGCCCTGTGGGAAGTCCAAGGACCACCCTCCTTCATCCAGGTCTCGTAAGGTGAGCATCCAGACTGCCTAGGCTCCCACAAAGCCAATACGTGCATTAGGCTCAAAAACCCATTGCCATTGTTCTTGAGGTCTCAGTAGTCCTCATTGTCCACTATGTTCAGTGAGACCTGTTTTAACCCAGGCTTTTTCAGACCCAGGCCAGCTGGCCTTGGTGAGTTCCCGATAGAACATCCCCATTGTCTCAGTGTGTGGTAAGCCAGACCCAAAAAGAGGAACATGGGATGTACTCACTCATATTTGGTTTCTAGCCATAAATAAAGGACATTGAGCCTATAATTCGGGTTCTTAGAGAAGCTAAATAAGAAGGAGATCCCAAAGAAAAACATATAGGCATCCTCCTGAATATTAGCCTTCATCAGGCGATGAAAGGAGACAGAGACAGAGACCCACATAGGAGCACTGGACTGAAATCTCAAGGTCCAAATCAGGAGCAGAAGGAGAGCGAGCATGAGCAAGGAACTCAAAATAAGAGTTTTAAGCTTATTTATTTTATTTTATGGAGAAGTGTGAGTGCCCACATATATCTAGATGCACCAGGTATATGTTTGATGCCCATGGAGGCCAAAACACACCACATTTTAAGCTATCTTCTTCTGTGGCTACTTCAGTGGCAGACAGAAAGTCACTAGAGGGATGGGCTTGGCTTGTTTTTTTTTTTCCTTTTTTTATTGATTTTATTGAGCTATGCATTTTTTTCTGTTTCCCTCGCTTTCTCTCTCCTCCCCTTCTACCCTCTCCCATGATCCCCATGCTGCCAGTTTACTCAGGAGATCTTGTCTTTTTCTACTTCCCATGTACATTAAATCCATGTATGTCTCTCTTAGGGTCCTCATTGTTGTCTAGATTCTCTGGGATTGTAATTTGTAGGTTGGTTTTCTTTGATTTATGTCTAAAAGCTACTTGTGAGTGAGTCCATATGATATGTGTCTTCCTAGGTCTGGGTTACCTCACTCAATATAATGTTTTCTAGATCCATCCATTTGCCTGCAATATTCAAGATGTCATTATTTTTTCTGCTATGTAGTATTCCATTGTGTAAATGTACTACATTTTCCTTATCCATTCTTCAGTCGAGGGGCATTTAGGTTATTTCCAGGTTTTGGCTATGACAAACAATGCTGCTATGAACATAGTTGAGCACTTGTCCTTGTGGCACGATTGAGCATCCTTTGGGTATATACCCAAAAGTGGTATTACTGGGTCTTGAGGAAGGTTGTTTTCTAATTTTGTGAGAATCGCCATACTGATATCCAAAGGGGCTGTACCAATTTGCACTCCAATCAGCAATGCAGGAGTGTTCCCTTTACCCCACATCCTCTCCAGCATAAGTTATCATCAGTGTCTTTTGATCTTGACCATTCTTACAGGTGTAAGATAGAATCTCAGAGTTGTTTTGATTTGCATTTCTCTGATGGCTAAGGATGTTGAACATTTCCTTAAGTGTCTTTCAGCCATTTAGATTCCTCTGTTGAGAGTTCGCTGTTTAGGTCTGTACCCCATTTTTTATTGGATTATTTGTTTCTTTGATGATCAATATTTTGAGTTCTTTGTATATTTTGGAGATCAGCCCTCTGTCTGATGTGGGGTTGGTGAAGATCTTTTCCCATTCTGTAGGCTGACATTTTGTCTTTTTGACATTGTCCTTTGTTTTGCAGAAAGTTTTCAATTTCAGGAGGTCCCATTTATTAATTGTTTCTCTCAGTTCCTTGCTACTGGGGTTATATTTAGGAAGTGATCTTCTGTGCCAATGCATTCAAGTGTACTTCCCACTTTCTCTTCTATGAGGTTCAATGTGGCTGGCTTTATGTTGAGGTCTTTGATCCATTTGGACTTGAGTTTTGTGCATGGTAATAGATATGGATCTATTTTCATTCTTCTACATGTTGACATTGGGCTTCTACATGTTCTGGGGCTCTGCTTGTTTTAAGATGTTGTGTTTGGAACCTCGATTGCTCAGTATGTGACCATTGATTGTGTCTCACAGTAAGGACACCTTTGATTGTATCCCATTGTAATTCCTAAGACTTTTGTTCACAGTATTCCCACTGAGCATGTAGGATGCCAGTCCGTCCACAAATTCTAATGCTTTTCAGAAATGGTTTAGTAAAAGTCAGGTCCCTTGTTAGTACAGCAGGAGAGAGAGAGAGAGAGAGAGAGAGAGAGAGAGAGAGAGAGAGAGAGAGAGAGAGAGAAGTTAGGTAAGATGTGGTCTGCACAGGGACACATGGATTCTCTAGTGATTTCTGTAATATGTAACATCTGGAGGAGCCAGAAGGAAGGAATTTGAGGTGACTTAATAAAATCTATGAGCTGAAATCCTAAAGCATTGGGAGATTTGTTCAGAGATTATTCTTTGTTCCATATGCAATCCCCACAAAGTTTCTTGCTATGGTCCAGACTCACTACACATTTGGAAATAGAAAAATTTTAAAGGCAAATGGAGTTACAAAGCAAGCACAGTGATGGCCCCAAGATGGCTCAACAGCCAGAAATTGGAAAGAAACACAAACTTAACAACCAGAAACCAGATGCCAAAAACAATGACCTGGGGCAGATGGCTTGGATGTCATGCATAAGGACTCAACTTCAATCTGCTGCACCCCTGAAAAAAAATAAAACAGCCACAAAAATCAACACCACCTCAGTCAACCCCACATTATAACTGAGCTGATGAAATGAAGATCCAAGTCTTTAAGGAAATTCAGTGAATCTAGCATCTTCCAGCTAAGAGGACAGGGAAAGAAGCAGCATTATAGGTAGACAAAGCTTTGAATACTTCTACTGAAAGAATAGTCTCTTTCTTAGTCAAGTGAAAATAAGAGAAATAACTTAGACAGCCTAGCTTTGGGTTTTCCAACTATTCTCTCAGGCCTCCTGGAGAATCTTGTGTCTTTCCTAAGCAGATAAATGGATTTTGTGGCTGTCATGGAGATAGACTCTTCTGGGGGGGGGGCTGAAATCCAAGACACTTTGACCTCTGTAAATAGGATAAAAGCTGGCAGGTTTTCAAACCTGCTCAAGAGGGACCATTAACTGAGCATGTCCTCTCTGGGTGGATATTAGTTCATCGACTTCCTAAGCTTCTCCCAGATGCTTCCAGTCAGGATGGGAAGGGCTGTCCTGGGAGTTTGCATACAAGTATTTGGGGGTGTCCATTGATAGGAACAAGAACTAATCCTTAATCCAAAGATGGCCAGAGACAGGTGACACAAATGGAGACTGAATATCTTTAAGATGTTTTCTTTGTCCTTCAACTCCTAGCAACCTGCCTGTCTACTTGTGACATTGAGCTCTGTTTTGGATAAGAGTATCTTTTCTCTTGATAACCCTTTCCAGCTGTGAGACACATTTACTTCTACGTCTAAGAAAAAGGATGGTGTGTGTGTGTGTGTGTATGTGTGCACATGCATGTGTGTTTGTGTCCACAGCAGGCTGCCCTCGCCTTGGAATGACACCTAGAAGCTGCTAAGTAGAGCAGGGGTACAATCCAAACCTGAAGGGCAGAATGGACAGAGGCAAGAGGCCTGTCATGTACAGCATTGTCCAGCTACTCTTCTCTGGTTTCAAAACATCTTTCAGTCATTTTCTTTTGCAATACACTGGGTATTTTCCATCTATCCAAGGTCAGCTCTGTACGTGTGTGTGTGTGTGTGTGTGTGTGTGTGTGTGTGTGTGTGTGTGTAGGGAATTTTACTGAACCATGATGGCTTTCTCATATTTTTGATAGTTTCATTAGAGAAAAGCAAGACTGGCTTTCATCCACCATCCACAATCCATAATTGTGTTTGACCATGTTCACTGTTTCTGAATGGCTGGCACAGTGGCCTATGCGGTCTTTGATCCACCATAGCGTTTAACTGTCTCTGTCCTTTTCTCTCCAGCGGAAGATACTAGTCTGTCTCAGAAGAAGAAGGTGACTGTGGAAGATCTTTTCAGTGAAGATTTCAAAATTCATGACCCGGAGGCCAAGTGGATAAGCGGTATGTCTGTAGTTCTTAGAGAACCTGGGATGTCCTTCCCACCCCACTTCCTCTCGTTCATCTCTATGTGGGAGGTTGTCCTCTCTTCCCTTGTGGCAGTGAAGCTCTGCAGAAGGTCTGATCTGTGACTCTGACTGTCAACACATTGCCATCATCAGAGCAGGTGGCCCTGGGAAAGCCACTCCTTACTCTACAGGCTGCCTCACAGACGTCAGCATGGCCTCAGCTCTGTGAGACATGTGTCTGTTGAGGACCCATCCTCCATCATCCTCAATGTGTCCCCTCCCTCCTGGAGCCATTACTTCTCTCAGGGAGATGAAACACGTTGCTAAGCAACAGAGCTTATGGTGCTGCTCTACTGAGCATGCCTTCTCCTTGGTACTGGTCTTCTCTGCTTAAGTTCGCGTTCACTCACCTGGGAGCTGTGACCAAGAACTGTGCAGAGATCTGTGCAGATACTGAGACGCATACCTTCCCTCTCAGCTCCAACCTGGATCCAATCTCATTTTAGAGTTTTGGGAGACTTTCTTCTTAAACAACAGAACAAAAACAGAACAGGGTATAGATAGCGGTATGGTCCTGACTCTTGGCATCCGGGAGGATGACTTTCCTCCAAGGGGGTCTCAAATCCCATGAGCCTGCACTGTTGCCCTCCTGGCAGGTGGCATTTCTCCTGCTGTGTCCCTGGCTGTGCTTTGCATTGTTTTCCCTTTAGGTACTGCTCTCAGGTTGGCAAGCCTTTCCAGGGCATCAGGTCCAGGCTCAGGGATAGGGTATTCCAGAGAGCAGCAGGTTTCCTGAGAGCCTTATATGGCAGAGGTGGTCTTCAGCACGGTGGGATGGCCACCCACCCGACCCCCAGTTTTGTGCCCTTTGCATTGTAGTGCTTGGTGTGGTATTGTTAGAGCCATTTGTTACCCAATAGCCCTGGGAAGGCTTCCCATACTTTGCCAACTGAAAAAAAAGTCAATTAGCAGTACTCCCACCTTCTAGCTCTTCCTCTGGGCAGTGGTTTCTCTCTTATCTGTACTATGATTGTGGTATTAGTTTTTGACCCCAAGGTTAGCCCCTTCCCTGAGCAAATCAGGATATGGATGTTTCAAAGTATGTGTTTTGTAAAGTCTTCAGAGAAATGACAAGTGGGGTGTTGGGGGTGTCTGTGGATATAGTACGTGGGGACCCAGCACAGGGGGATAAGAGAGCAGAGGTCTCCTGCTGCCTTGGGAGTGAACTTCACTTTCAGTGTTGAAGGTGCCTTAGCATCCCCCCCCATCCTACCCCAAGTGTGTGTGTGTGTGTGTGTGTGTGTGTGTGTGTGTGTGTGTGTGACTGCAAGCACCCACACACATGTGCATGCATCAATGAACACATGCACACATTTGTGTTTTGACTCAGTGTTTGGGCAGGTCTGAGCACTCAGGCAGTGCTCAAGGTCAGATCTTGAGAATGCAGCACAGTCTCACTGGGAGCCCAAGGATGCATTCTGGAGAGGAACATTGATCCTAACTCAATAGATGCAGAGAGATGGATTCCCGCTTTCTCCCTCTCCGTGGGAAGGCATTTTGGAGACTGTGAGCAGTCTTAAATGGATGGCTAGGGTTTGTTAGATAAGAGAACAGACCTCTGGGAAATGTAAGTCTAAAGCATCAGCCTGTGCTAAACTGTGATCAGCAGAACCAAATGCAAGCTGAGAGACAATACCCAGAGATGAGAAAGTAAAACATCCAAACGGGGGCAGAAACAAGCTCAGAGGATACATGGAAGGGTAGAAATAAGGGTGCCAGATCCAACTCTGGGGCTCAGAGACCACTGGAAGAGAACCTGGAAAAATTCCAGCAGGGGCCAAAAGTAGAGATGTGCACTTTTTTTATTAGGTTGCCATGGTTTCAGGCAGCCTACACCTAAAGCAACAGTCTATGTGAAATGAGCAGGGTGGGGCGGGGGGTGGTGTTAGTGACTGTGGAAGAGAAGAGGAGGGAAGGGGGGGAAAGTGAGGAAATGAGAAGGGGAGGGGAAAGGAGGGAAGAGGGCTGTAAACCATGAAACAGAGGCACAGGTTGTATAAGACACTGAAAGCCAGGGCGGTGTCTCTGAGCTGCCCTCCCACCGCTGTCCGCATCATGTGCTGGGAACTTGTTCTGACTGAATGAGAACAGCTGCCTGGAGATGCGCTGACTCCACCCAAGGGAAGCCAGCCAGAGTGCTTTCTTTCCCCCCAAACTGGGGTTAATTTAACCTCCTCCTCCTCTTCTTTTTCTTCACCCCTCTTCTCTTCCCCACTTTCTCCCCTCTTCTCTCTTCCTTTCCCCTCCTCCTCAGGATAATCCCCTGGGTGTCTGGTATGTCTTAACCTCTCCGTAAGTACCTCACACCTATTAAGCCATTTGATTCTCACAGGCTCCACTGGTCCATTTTCAGGTATGTGAACTGAGGCTCAGAGTGTTTAAGTAGCTCAGCCCATATCCCACATCAACCTCACCTTCTCTGTGTTTACAGACTGCCACACCAGGTGGGATCCGGGTCTCCTGTCTCCGGGACATTTCTCTTGTGCCCTCACCAGCTACCTTTTCTGCTTTTAAGCACTGTCTGGGCTGTGAATAGCACAGAGCTCCTACCATCTACTGACCGCTAGAAGGAAATGGAGACTTTCTCTACTGAGAAAGTAATTTAGATTTTTTTTCACATCAATCGCTGGTATTAACATGTGGCTTAGGTTTAATATTGGAGCTCATGGTCTAGAAGGAAGGCTCTGTTTTTATCATAAGGAAACTATGCTAGGTGAAATTCTTAAGACTGTAGACTTTACTTGGTTCTTTTTAAATAAATTAATAGTCTTGTTGGTAATATAATATTGCATAAGTGATTAAAAGGTAATTAATAGTAAGGTTCTAAACACTAAGCAAAGCTCCATGTTCTCAGAATGGCCATGCTGACAGAAGTTCACTGAGCCCGTGTTTGTGTGTCATTATACCAGCTGGGTAATGCTTTGATTTGTGGGTTAATTACAATAGCAATTTTTATTTACTTTATTGTTTCTTAAGCATACCTTCTCTGAAAGCTTGAAATCTTCTAGAACCCTGAAATTGGAAGAACTTCCTTGTGCTTTTGTTTCCATAGAGGAAGAGCAGAAACTAGCAGAGCTGACAAGGCCTCTGCTTCCTGGGAGGTCCCTCCTGCCTGCAGGCGAGAGACTGGTAGCAGCTGCATGCTTCCACACACCTGCTGCATTAAGTAACTCCTCATATTTGTTACAGTAACTGCTCGTCCTCTCGACCTTTGGGGACAGCTTTAGTCACTGTTTTATTGCTGTAAAGAAACACCATGACCACAACTCTTGGAAAAGAAAGCCTTTAATTGGAGCCTTGTTAAGTTTCAGACTTTAGTCCATCATCATCATAGCAAGGAGCATGGTGGCCTGCAGGCAGGTGCTGGAGAAGTATGACACACTTCCTCCAACAAAGCCACGCCTCCTAATCCTTTTCAAACAGTGCCACTCTCTGATGGCTAAGCATTCCAATATATAAGCCTATGGGGCCATTCTTATAGAAGCTACCACAGGGATCTTTTCTGTGCTGTTCCAGGGTTGTGTGACATGGGACGACATTGTGGCTACCACTTCTTTCCAGACTGAATCAGCCCAGTTCTACTCTGCCTGAAGTGATGGGCAGCCTCAGACCTTCCCCTCTCGCCTCACTCCTCCATCCATCATCTTCATCTGAAATGACCTGGGAGAGGTTGCAGCACTCACCCCCTCTTCTAGCCACCAGTGACCTGCCCCTCTCTACACGGCCTCTAAAGAGATCATGGGTGGGCTTTTACTGGCTTGAGGAATAATTGTAGGGAACCTCTTCTTTCACCCCTGAACATTTTTGTGCATGAGAATACGCTGATCTTGAAATAAATACATCCTCATTTCTACTCCCATTCTACACTCACATCTTGACCTTCTTCTTGTCCATGTCCCCACTGTCTCTACAGGTCTCCCTGTCCTATACAACCTGGGACAGCTGTCTACCACAATCCTATTCACACTCTGCTTCCCTTGCCTCAGTGCCCACTCTGATTAGGCATCTACCCCAGGCTCCTGAACTTCCGCTTGTCAAGGTCACAGAGGACCTCCAAGTTAGAGAATGCCAATTCCTCAAGGTCATTTCTTAGATCTTTCCTCTCTTGCTATCAGTGTTCTGACCTCTCCTAAATGCACATCTCCAGACTAGAGCCCTCCTCTTATGTCTCATATACCTCGAAGACCTTACAGATTTAACCTTAAGACACATCTCCAAATCGGGGGTCCTGATCCCATCTGAAACCATAAACACACACATACCTCCCCAAAAAACTGTGTCCCACACACAATACAACTTCCTAATGTGGACTGATGAGAAACTCATCCACTTGAGTCTCCTGTACCATCCCCACAAGCTGCTTCTTAGACAAATAGTCCCTTTCTATGCCCAGCTGGGATTGGTGTTAATTCCAAAATGAGGGTAGTGGGTTTCTACATGGAGTCCACCTACCCCCTTGTCATTTTTCAATTCTTTTTTGTTCAGAGTTTCATACTGCCCAGGCTGGACTCCAACTGCCTCTGTAGTAAAAGACAGCCGTGCCCGGTGCAGACTTTCTTCTGGTCACCTCATTTTCTTGAATCCTTCCACTTGTTGGCAGAGAGCCCTCTGTGTCTCGGGACACAGAGCTGGAGAGACTGGAAAATTGGAGAAAATTGCCTCCTTTGAATGTAGGAAAGGATCAGCTGGCTGGTTGCTACTGGAAAAGTCTATGTTTGAGGAGATAAAATTGGCCTTGGTGCTCGGGGCTCAAAGCAATTTCATTCCCAAATGTGTTTTAGCTTCTCCGTGTTGTTCTGAAAAACCAGATGGGTGTTTTTTTTTTTTTTAAATAAAGCTTGAGGGGTTCAGTAAGAAGGAAATTCACGCTTAAAATGGTTTGTGTTTTTCCACTGCTTTTGGGAGACCACAGTTTTCAATCAGAACCAGAGTGGA